GGTGCCCCGGGGCCTGGGCATTCCTGCTCTTCCACTGTCCTCCACATAGCAGGAGGACACTGACTAGACTAGACCCGTGAGTCAGGGCTCTGCAGCAGACTGAATCAGCAGAGCAGACAGGCCCAGCCTAGCAGCAGCCCAGATAGGAAGGAAAATGCCGGTGCCCTCACTGGCACTGGCCTGGGCTGCAGCAGTTATGGCCAGAGCCCAGGTTCAGGTTGGGTATATAATAAGATGTTTCTAGCAAAGCAAAAGGAAGCATAGTTGGTTTTTGCAGACTTCCGTCTTCCTTCCATCAGTGCCAGCACAAGACACTTGTGTCTGGCCTCAGTTGGAGTCATCTGGTTCCTGGGTCTTTGATTCTCATCTGGTACCCACCCGTCTCAGCCCCATTCTCTGCTTTTCCTCAGCTCAGAGTTTATCCTTGGCAGAGAGGGGATGGAGATGGCTACAACTTCCTGTTTCTGTACTGGTCAGGAAGGTCACTAACACTGATGGTCCCCAAACACCACTCACAGGCTTACAATGCACCTACCTCCCTCGCCGTTAGCCCTGATACCCATGACTTGCAGCAGCTCCTTTTCCCAGGGATCCCCTATGAGCTCTCTTTGTCAGTGATGTTTGTCCATGAGCTCCAAGAAAAGCCAAAGAATGATCCACTAAATGGAAGAACTCTGGCTTTGTGACAGTCAGAGTGAAGCGGTATGAGGACAAGTGTTCGACCTTCTCTGACCACTCAGCACAGCCAGCCTTTGGCTTCTTATGTTCTGTCTGAACACTGGGTGTACAGCATTGGATAAAGCAGGACCTTTAATTCAGGGTGTTTTTCACTCTTGGTCCGAGCAGAGCCCGTTTGTAACTCACTAGCTAGTTAGTGGACTTAGCAATGTGGTTAGCCTTGCTAAACTCCAACAAAGCCTAGGACTTAAATAATGACCTTGACGTAATCACAAAATCCTTCTTCCTCTCTCACATGCACATCCATCCCCCAGTGAGGCAGGTGGGAAGGTATCTTTTGCTTTTTAATTCAGCTACTAGTGACCGCACATCTCTCACAGGGCAACAACTGTGCCAGCTGCACTCTGCCAAAGTTGGCATCGCTCATCACTCCCTTGCTCTTTTGAAAATGCTTCAGGACTGTGTGTAATTTGCTGGGACTTCCTTTATTGTTGATGTTAAATTGCAAATGCCACCCATCTTATTTTATGTCACTGTAGTTCATTTCTTTTGACTGCGGCCTAACATTTCTTTGTGAATACTGTATGCCACAGTCAGCTTCTGAAAGACTGGCCTGAGACTCAGTCCTAAAACTGAGACTCACCCATTTGTCTTTTTCACTTTCTTTATTTCTTTCTGCCTTTCTATCTTTCTTTTTCTTTCTGTCTATATTTTGGGGGACAAGGTTTTGTTTGCTGTGTTGTCAGTGCTGGCCTCAACTTGCAACCTTCCTACCTCAGCTTCTAATAGCTGGGACTACAGGTACACAACGTGGCACCTAGCTCATTAATTTTTTTGTTCAATAAATATTTATTCATACTTACTATATGTGGGACATTGTAAGGGATATCAGAGATGCACCGATTAACTGAAGATTTGGCTTATAGTGTCCATTTGGTTCATGCTATTTCTTTCTCACTTTTGCTTGCAAATGGGGATGAATCATTTTCTATAGCCGCCACTCAGGGGTAGCAGCTGGAAGCATTAGCTCTGGTGAGCACTGGGTTGCTTCAGTTCAGTTCAAGATGATGAGCCAAGGGCAGGCAAGGTGCAGACTGTAAGCCTTTCTCTCTGTTCTCAGCTTCTACCACAAATCCTCACCCATCAAAGGGTATAGTCAGTTTATTGAATGAATACTAAACAAAAGTGATCTGCCCTATATTCCTCAACCAACGCAGGCATGCGTGCACGAGCAGACCCAATGAAAAGGATGAATTGATGGGGACGGGCACTAAATGGATACTCTTAGTATCCTGCCAGTCCTTCTGCTGGCCTCCCACAGCTCAGCACACATTCTTACCTGCTTAACCAAGACCCCAGGGCATTCCCTCCACTGGCAAGGCCCATTGCCTTTATTTCCAGACACTTGAGTGTCTCTGCCGCCATCCTCTTTCCCTCTCCTGTCCTCACCTCACTCTAGCCATACCAGTCTCTATGCAGTTTCTCCAGTGCCCCGAGCTTGTTCCTGCCTGGTTGGTTCTTCATGCTGTTAAAGTTCCAGCTCAGAGATCACCTCCCCAGAAGACACTCCCTATGCACAAGTCCCCAGACCTTCCATTCAGAATCTCCGTCCAGGCACTGTCTCTCTCACCCCACTTTGCTCTCTGATAGCTCCCACTAGGCTCTGGTTGTTTCTGGCTACCTGTTTATACCCTGTCCTCCCCAGGCTCATCCTTCTTCCCAGAGATGCAGCCCTTCCTGTCTCTTTTGGGATCCTCTCCTGTCCTGAGGAAGGACTGTTTATTTGTTGTTGATTCCATAGCTCCTGGAGCAACACCTGGTACAATACGGACCCTCCACAAACCTCTATCTAGTCTGGTGATGATTTAATGCTACTCATCCTGGTTATCAGACACTTCATATCAATCCTTTTTACCCTGAGTTAGATGAAAGGATTTTGTCAACTATTACATGCCAATTGTATGCGAATTGTTGTTGGTATTATTATTTCCTGACTCTCTAGCTACAACAAGGCAGGCTTACCCAATCTGTTCTCATCTTTATCCTGGAAACTGTCTCCTCCAGCCAGCCAGAAGAGAGGAGGACAGAGGAGAGGAGAGCCACAGTGTAGAGCCCAGTGAGCAATTCCACTCAAGTCATTAACTGAGCCTTTACTAGGAAAAAGCCTGATGCTGAACACGAAGGATACAATGGCAATAAGAAAGAGTAACCGATACAATTATTGTCAATTTAAATGTTTAATTTAAAAACATGACACCAACCAGAGAGAGAGAAAGAAGAAACAATGACTCCCTGACAGAAGCAGGACTGTGATAAAGATGTCCTGAGTGCCATGGAAGCAGAGAAGGTGGAGGCCACAGGAAGGAAGCCCCATGTGTGAGCCTGGCACTCCCCACTGGTACAGTAGCCCTTCAAAGGCAGTATTCTTTTCCCCACCTTACCAAGGCTAAACGTGGGGAGCAGAGAGTTTGAGACCTTGCCCAAAGCACACAGTTAATAGTGTGCAGAGCTTGTATTCCAATGCAGGAGGCCCTTGCCCAAAGCACACAGTTAATAGTATGCAGAGCTTGTATTCCAATGCAGCCTCTGCAGACAGCAGCACTTGGCTGGATACTGCATCCGCCAGCCATGACTCATGCACAGAGCGTACATGGAAATGTACAGAGCCCTGCTTCCTCTCTGGCCACCGCTGGGGGGTACCATGACCTCTGCACAAAGGGTCAGGTAAATCCCTAGGTGGACGCTTAGACCTCAACACAGCCCAGGGATTCCACACCCTCAGCCAGACTGGGAAAGGGAAGAAGGAACAGGAAAGCTTCTAGGAGGCAGGAGAAAGAGAGGGAAGGGTTCGGCTGCCAGGAATCTGGGTGTCACTCTTTGACCTTTGTTCAGCAGTAAAAGAGACATGTACTTTACATGTGAGCCTTTGTATGAGTATGTGCTCCCTGCACATGTAAAGTTGTGTGAACAAGTGCGAGAAGTGCCTGTCCTTATATTTGTGTACATGTGTTGCTGATAACTTAAGACCACACTCTCAGAAATGCCATTATATATTCTGAGAGTTCTGGGTTTTGTTCATTTCAACAGGTATAATATCCCTCAAGTAAAACACTCAAATCAGAAGTAAATTGCTCAGTGAGGTTTTACACATATAAACGTACAAGAAGCCAACATCTAGAACAAGATCTAGAAGTTTCTGAACATTCCAGAAGACTCTAATGTGCTCCTTCCAATAACCACCCCTCCCTCCCCAGTTGTAACTGTTATCCCTGTTGTCACCCCTTAAACTTTGACTTCACCTCTTAAATCTCATGCAAATAGAATCATACAGTATATACTTTTGTTTCTGGTTTCTTTCCTTCATGACCATGTCTATAAATTTCACCAGGTCACTGCATTTAGCACTAGGGAACTCTTGTCTATTGCTGTAATTCTATAAATTATATAAATAGACTATGTTTTACCTACTCTGCTGGTAGTTGACTTTGGGTTTTTTTCTGATTTTTAGCTATTACTAATGAAGCTACTACGAACATTCATGTATAAGTTTTTTGCTAGATATATGCATTTATTTCTCTTAGCTATTGGTCAATAAATCATAAAATAGTCATATATTTTGCATTAATAGATTTAACCATTTTCCAAAGTATTTGTATGAAATTACATCCCAAAAGCAGTGTATGAAATTTCCAGTTGCTCCACATCCTCTTCAACACCTAATATTGTCAGCTTTTTAAATTTTAGCTATTCTGATGTCTACGTAGAGCTATTTCACTAGAGTTCAAATTTGCATTTGCCTCATATGTAATAACATTGAGCATCTTTTGGTACTTATTAGCCACTTTTTTTAAAAAAACAGGGTTTTACTATGCAGTTCAGGCTGGCCTTGAACTCACTTTGTAGCCCAGGCTGGCCTCTAACTCACAGCAATCCTCTTGCCTCCCACATGCTAGGATTTATTAGCCACTTGTAAAGTATCTGAGTTTTTAACAGAAATATATTATCTGTGAAACTAGGCAAACTATTGACAAAAACAGATAAGGCAGAATTATCTTGAGAAATTCAGCAATACACACAATTAGCAACTAGTGGTTTCAATAATTGCTAACTAATTGCTAAAATTAGTAAGCTAGTTAGGCTAGGTCAAATAGGTACATGACTGAATTTTTTATCTTGAACCAATTATGTAGCTCTCACAGAAATCCCCACTTAGATTTAGCAGGATGAAGGGAATGCACACAAGAACCAAGGATCTCCTGTAGGCTACTAGCCCTAGCCTTAGAGGTTCCCTCACTCAATTCACTGTTTTTCCTTCATTACAGGATCCTGACAGTGACCATCCCCTGAACAACCGTGGTAAGCTCAGTCCAGCTTTCCTTTGTCTCCTTCAGCCTCTGAGTATCAGTCACCAGGCAGACATTGAACTACTCTCATATGGCCCTCACAACCTTCCCCCTCCTGCCAAATGGAGTAGATGACGTCCAGCTCCCATCGACCCAGCATTCAATGATACTAAGTCCCAGTATTCATTCTAGAAGTAGGAGGCCTAGTCTCTGGGGAAACAGGATTAACAAACCAAAAACTCCAAGGGCAAAGATTCCCCAGTTCCATCACTGTGCCAGGGCCTGGGCTGCTGCTGGGCCATAGCAGTAAGACAATCAGCCTTCATGGAGTTCACAGGCTATTCATGCTGCCAAGAAACAAGCTGGTCAATGTTTTCACTGGGAGGAAAGAAAATGGCAATATTTGCCTGATTTGCTATAGAAAAATAAGCCAATACACAGAATATTCCCAACTTTAAGTGTTGCATTTGGCTATACCCTGGATCAGAGTTGTTGTGTAAATAAATCATAGACTAATCATATGTTTTACAATTAGTAGATTTAACTAAACCATTTTCCAAAGCTTTTGTATGAATTCACATTACCACAAACAGTGTATGTTACATTTTCTTAAACCATTGATATCTATTCTTGACACAGCTCACTGGATCAGCAAAACAAATAAAGCACAAATTAATATGGACAGATCAATAAGAAAATGGTTGATCCTACTTACCTTGACAGCTGATTTCTCAGTTCAGGGTCACAAGTTAATAAGAGCACAAATGATGGAATCTTCAGCAAGTAAAAATGGTGACTTGTTATACTTTGGAATTTAGTAGATCAGTAGACCATGGTGACCCCAAAGAACACCGGGCTCTCTCAGGCTCCACCCATTGAGTAAGCCTGAGAACCATCAGACTAGAAAATGAGCTGAATCTGCTACAAATTCCTGGAATGGAGGAAGTGAACAGTTCAAGCTGTTCAAGTGGTTGGGGATGGCACCATGGGCCAGGTCCTAGAGGATGAGTCAATTGTCAGCAGACAGAAGGGAGTGAGGAAGTCTCAGGGGAGAAGGGAAGAGCCCAAGCTCTCCAGACTCACAGGTGAAGATTGATAGGGTCATTCCAGATCAAGGAGCAGACCCACCAATGCAGAGCTGGGGACTGGCGAGGACTGGCTATGGAAGTCCCTTAGGCCAGGAGAGGGAAGCCAAGTGACACTGACTTTGAAAGCATAGGGAAGAGTGCAGTCTGGATGAGGAGATCACAGGGAGCCAGGGGAAAGAAGCTGTCTTTTAGGAAGCTCTGTCCAGCAGCACTGGGCAGACAGACGGAAGAAGGATCAGTAGCAGGGGGGAGGCCATTCATAGCTCAGGGAGTTCATGAACTTAAACAAGATATGAAGCCCCTTCCCTTCCTGCTAGGGAAAGCAGGACAACCCTGCCACTTACAGCTCTGGGTAAATGAGGGAGGGTACCATCCCTCACTTAATGCAAATGAAAATTTGCGTTAAACACAAATGCAAATGCAATATAATGCAAATTTGAACTTTAGTGAAATAGCTCTACATAGACATCAGAATAGCTAAAATTTAAAAAGCTGGCAATATTAGGTGTTGATGAGGATGTGGAGCAACTGGAAATTTCATACACTGCTTTTTGGATGTAAATTCACGCAAATACTTTGGAAAATGGTTAAATCTATTAATGCAAAATGTATGATTATTTTATGATTGTATGCAAAATATATATGACAATGCAAAATATATGACTATTTTCCAACCCAGACAACACCCTGGAGGCAGAGACCTTGGGCCCTGGACACAGGGACTCAATGCCCCCTACAGGTCATTCACTCCCCAAGAAAATAAACCTAGAAAATGTCCCCAGGAGTAGGAGCTCAATAAGTAAACCACAGATGCAAGAATGAACAAAATGTCAAGGGCTGGGAATGTAGCTCAGTGGTATAAATTCCTGCCTGTCAAGCACAAGGTCCTGAGTTCAATTCCCAGTGCCACAGGAAAAAAAAAAACAAAAACAAAACAAAATGTCACATCCACAGGAGAGGGGATAATTCTGAAGACTTCTTGCTAACATGTTAAAGAGCTAGCGTTATTGATAACCTATTTTGTGCCAGGTCCTAGCAATTTACAATAGGCAATACCACTTCCAGCCCACCTCCCCAGCACATGGCCCCTATGTCCAAGGTTAAAAACTCTCTTTTAGGAAAATGTGAAGTTTCCGGTTTCCTTTAAAACAGATTCATTAATATTAGCATTTACTGAACACCAAATTCTGGCAGGATGCCATTCTCTGCTTTTGAAGAGCAGAGGAAAAGGACAGAACCAGACAGGTGACTAGCTATCATTCAAAATGGAAGAAAATGAGATCTGAAGAAAGATAGAAGGAATGTGTTTAGGAGACCATTCATTCAACAAACACTTGGTGAGCACCTCCTGCAGGGCAGGTGCTGTCTGCCGGATGCTGTTTTAGGCACAGGGGACTCAGTAATGCACAAAGTCCTGTCTTCCTGCAATCTTCATTTGGAGAAGGGAGACAGGAAACAAACAAAACATGTGAAATATGCACTATTTCATAGGACCAGCCTATTGCTTGCTTAGGTCTCTCCGGCTACCTTACTTCCTGCCCTAGCTCTTCCTGGAGGAGAGGTCCACACAGCACCTTCCCAGCTTATTTGTGTGCAAGGAGAGGGGACTGGAAAGAACATGCCTCTGCTACTTACTGAGAATCTAACTTTTCACAGTCATCCCCGTGTCCCACCTCCTTGAACAGCCAGGGGAGGTGTACGTGTAATTATTACCTGTTGTAGGCTGCAATGGGCTCCTACCTCATCTCCTAATCCTTTGCTTCAGTCCACCTCTTCCCTGATAAATGATTCCTCCTTCTAAATACTAATTTGATCATGTTTCTCTGCGGCTCAAAACTCACTGTCTTCAGGATAAAACCCAGTCTTCAGCATGGCTTTCAAGGGTTTCACAAACTGCCTTTGTTTTCCTGCTTCCTAACATGCTTTGATTCACCTCAGATTCTACGTCACAGGCCACTCACAGTTCCCACTCCATGTAGTGCCTGGGCTGGTCCAGCGACTCCATTCACCATCTCCACCTATGTCTAAGTACTGCCTGCTCAAGAAGCCATCCTTGGCCTACCTTTGATGGTGTCTCTAGTATAACACACGCCACCTTCCACACTTCCGTCCGTGTCCCTGTCTGCCCTTTCTCCAGACTGTAATTTCCTTAAAGACAAGAACACCCCAGTGTGATATTACCTATAATTCTAGTACTCCAGGATGCTGAGACAGGAAGATTCCACGTTCAAACCCAGCCTGGGCAACTTAGCAAGACACTGTCTCAAAATAAAAAATACAAAAGTGTTGTAGATGTAGTTCAGTGCAAGGACTGACCCTGGATTCAACCCCTAGAAAAACACACACACATACACACACACACACACACACACACACATACACACACACAAAGACAAGGAAAGTGCAAGGACTTATTGTTTGTTGACTGACAAAGATGGAGGCCCTCTGGTTGCATCCTTTTATTAAGCCTCTACTCTCAGCTTTCACAGTGCTAGAGGGCTCTACCTTCCTGGATCTTATAGTTTAACCAAAAAATAAATCGGGGATAAAAGGAATACGTCTAATGTTCTATAGCACAGTAGAGAACTGTATTTAACAATTAATTATATTTCAAAAGAATTTTTGAATGTTCCCAACACAAAGAAATAACAAATGACTGAGATGATAGCTATATCAACTAACCTAATCCTATCGTCATACATTATATACATGTATTGAAATGTCATACTGTAGCCCATAAATATGTATAACTGTCAATTAAAAATAGAAAGATTTTAAAATTTATCAGCAAGTCAGGAAAAGGATAAATGACAGCACAATGAATACACCTTCATGTTCATGCAGGACTTGGCCTGTCCCAGGGCAGGCTCAGAGCAGACCGAACAGGCTGATATCCTCGGACAGGCGAGGAGAGTGGTGGTGAACCTGTGAAATGCATGCTATTGTGTTTTCCTTTTAAGACAAAAGATGTTAGTGTGTGAGCTGCTTTTTCTAAACTAAAACCTCAGTATTTAGGTTTAATTGCCATGTTGGCACTTTGCAATAAATAAGTGGCTTTTGGGTTGCAGGTTGGGTACTCAGTCTTGAAAAGGTTCTCCATCACAGGGGTAGGGCAAGACAGGAGGACAGCATGGGCTGCAGACTCACTGGCAGAGTGCTTACGAGAGAAGGGTAACCCCGGGGAAGGGACAGGTGGGGTGGCCTCCTCTTTTGGAATAACCCTCCAGCATAAGCCAAGACTGTCCCCAAGGCAATCCTGCCACAGGCTGGGGAGGCTCCAAGAACTGAGAGCATGCTTCACCCCTCTGCTTCATATGTCCTGCAGGTGCCATCCCGCCATGCAAGCCCCGGACCCCAAAGGAGACCTTCAAAAAGGTGGGGATCCCCATCATCGCAGTACTGCTGAGCCTGATGGTCATCGTCATTGTGGCTGTCCTCAGTAAGTTACAGCCCCTAACCAGCTTTTGCCCCCTGAATAGGTGACGGTACCCTCCCTCATTTACCCGGAGCTGTAGGTGGCAGCTACACCTCCATCCTCCACCCCCACAGTCAGAGATGGGTGATCTACATAAAGCTGTGCAAAAACAAAAAGGAAAAGCACATCCACCTCTTCTTTGAAGGCAGCCTTCTTCTAAGAGTGAAAGGGGAAGATGAACTCAGCTCCCATCCATCTCTCCCCATCTAGCCCAGATTTCTCCTTCACACGTGACACACATCACAAACCCACGCAAGCAATTGCAGGGCACTGCCCCTCCCTCCTCCTGCAGATTGACAGCTTGTGGGTCTGAGCAGCTCTTGGGGCTGCCAGGACAAGAAACATTTCTGCCAGGGAGACACAGAGGAGTCATCAGGGAAGGTGGAACCCCTCCCCACCTTCAGCTCTGTCTTCATCATTGTGAACGTCTGAGCCCCAGTGTAACCCTGAGCAGCCCACTCTGTGACAAATAAGATTAAACTATGTGAGTGGTGATTCCCACTACCCTTCCTAGCTCCCACACTCTGCAACTGAATCCTTACCTTCATCAACCTCACAGACACAGCAAGGTACTGACCACAACCAGAACTCAGGCCCAGGAGACCAGACTAGGAATGAGGACAATGGGGACAGAAACCTGGTTCTATCACTTGCAGCTATGCCACTTGAGGGCACATAAATGGGCCCTCAATCTCTCTTACTCTCAAACTCTTCACCTGTAAAATGTCCTGCCTTCCTCCCAGCAATATCATGAGCACCGAGGAGATAGTATGGATAAAAAACCAAGCTGTGCAAAAGTGTGTGTCATCACACAGCTTGCTGAGATGTGACTCAGGCCTCTGACTAAACAGATCCAGTCCCACCTCATGGCAGTAGAAACGCAGATCCACAACATAAATACCACCTAAAGCCCTGAGAGCCTTGGATGGGTGTGAAAAACAAACAACTCCAAATCATTTCTTCTTGACCTTGGCTGGCCTGACATGACAGTGATTGTGTTAGTCAGCTGTCTACTACTATAACAAAATACCTGAGATAATCAACTTATAAAGAGAAAGAGGTCATTTTGGCTCAGTGTTTTGGAGGTTCCTGTTCATGATCAGTTTGCCCCACTGCTTTTGAGCCCATGTTGAGGTAGCACATCACAGCAGGACTATAAGGCAGAGCAAATCCCCTTACACTCACAAGTCAGGAAGCAAGAGGAAAGGGTGCGGTACCATGATCTCCTTAGAAAAAATGCCCCCGGCAAACTAAAGACCTTCCACTAGACCCCATTCTAGAGATTCCACCACCTTCCACTAACACTGTCCTGGGGATCAAGCCTCTGGGGAACACTCGAGGTCCAAATTACAATGGTGGATCTACAGTGCCTCGCAGATCTGCTAATATTAAAACAAGCTTGTTTTATTCAGACTAATATTAAAACAAGCTTGCTTTCTCTGAGCATATGTTCTGCCACAGTGGAAGGAGAAGAGGCCAAATTTGTCCAAGGGAAGCCAGAAAGGCAGCAAGTCATAATTTAGAGTTGGGCTCTTGCTATCTCAGAAGGCCCTGCATGGTTTCCATGCCCTGGGTCCTCCCAATTCTGAAATCAGAGGTGGCAAACAAATCCTTCACCCTGGTCTAGGCTCTCTCAATACTTTGGCTCCTGAGCAATGAACTGCTGACCCTGTTTCCTGGTTTTGTCCCAGAAGGCTGGGATGATCCTGCCTTACTCTGGCTCCTAATCATGAACCAAACTTGAAAGGTCTAGGAAATTCCTGGCCTGCTCTTTCTCCTTTACTTCACTCAAGAAAGGAGCATCAGGGCCAGTAGGTTCCATCTTCAGATGGGAGGTAGACAGATGTTGGCTTTACCACGTGGGCACTGTGAGGCTTTGGGAAATAAGCCCTAACCCTTCCATCTTCCGTCTCCTTATTGGTGACATAAGTTAGAGTGACACCTCTCTTCTGAGGTTGTTGCCAGGATGCATGAGGAACAGTATGGAAATTTACTGGCACAGTGACAAGTGGAGGACATCAGAGACCCACTGCCACCACTGTTAGGACCAGTTGGGACTGATGCTATACTGGAGAGAATCCACTTAGGAAAGAGGAGTTCCTTCCTACCAAGGTATCTGGCTGTCGTCACCAAAGAAACCTTTGGAAATATCTGTTCCCTAAGGGATTGATTACACTAAATGCATTCCTGTCGACCTAAAATGGCACAGGAGAAACAGAAGTGAATGCACCTGGCAGAATCTTTAAACAGCAGGCAGAAAACTGAACATGAATCTCTTCATGAGTCTTTCAATCCCAGATAAAAACACCTGCCTCTAGAACTACACTTAAGAGTTACAAGACATTTTCACAACTACCAGCTTACCACTTTTCTCACCAGCCTGTGAGATAGGTACTATCCTTCCGTGGCACAGAGGGGGAAACTGATTCCTAGCTGGGGAAGTGAATGGTATAAGGCTGCACACCGTAAGTAGCAGAGCCAGAAGCAGGTCTTGGGTCCAATCATCTTCTGCATCATTACCTAAGCCAGAGCTCAGAGTAAGAGACCTGCAGAACCCATTTCTCAATATCCCCCACATACATTCTCACTCTGGACTCCTCTGCCACCTTAGAGACGGGCCTGTGTTATTTTCTCCACTTTTCCAATAAAGAAACTATCAGGACCAGATAGATCTGCTACTAAGCAGCAGAACTCAGCCTTGGACCCATATCTGCCTGTTTCCAAACCAAGTATTAACTTGCAGAAAAACACAGCGTCTCCCTGCCCCGGCTGCCTGCACGACCCTTAACCCTCTCTGCACCTCTTTGTGCTTGCCTTCCAGTCAAGGTGATCCTCGATAAATACTACTTCATGTGCCAGCACTCTCTGCACCTCATCCCGAGGGAGCAGGTATGTGACGGCCACCCCGACTGTGCCTCAGCAGAGGATGAAGAACCCTGTGTCAAGGGCTTCCCTGAGCAGCCTGCTGTGACAGGTGAGTCCTGGTGGGGACAGGGTATGAGAGGAGTGGACCCAGCAAGAAATGTGCTCAGGCCCCCTGGGTCACACACAGCACCAGCATACTGACTTGGTATCCCCATAGAATAGGGTTCACCAGAGCAGGACCCTGCTGTGTCTATCTCTAGATTCTAGCATGTAACAAAGAGCACACACTCTGTTTAAGATTGGATGAGGGGACAGGCAATTGTAGCTGAGCCTGTCTCACTCCTGTTTTACCTGCTTGATTTTGAGAAGGAGGACTAACTTGATTGACCTTGGAGAGTTTCTCCTTCCTATGAAATCTCTTATTTCAAGAGAAGAAAGGAGAATGTCAGACTATCCAACCAGCTAGTGATCTTTCAGTTAATTAGTGTTTACTGTAACATGCTATGTAACCAGCCCTTCAAAGGAACATGAGATAGATGGAGCATTAAAACCATATTATTTCTTGATCTGGTACCTGGACTCTGAAGAGAAAAAGCCAAAGAGATGGGTGATGAGACAGAGCTGAGTGACTTCCTGTGTAGTTTGCTCTTTTTTATTAAATTCAAATGCCTCTGAGCACCTGCCATCTACTCCCAACAGAACTTCTCACCTGACCTCCACCCTGACCTAGGAGAAGCACCTAGGTCCCTGGCTGAGATGCCCCCCAGGCTAAGCAAGCTGTGTGGACCATGGGTAGACCATGGTCATGACCATGTATCTGTTCATGAAAACTGATAAGAGCAAAAGGAAGCGATATTACTCATTGTGCCAGGGGAAGAGGTCAAAATGGAGATTGATATCAGAAGGTGTATGTGCTCTAGCTACTGTCACAGTGAAGCTTAAACAGAGTGAGATGGAGGAACTTCCCTTTATCTTAAAAGTATCAGTGCTCACGATGTCCCCAGTTCTGTGCTGGGGGAAGTTGAGCTGGTCTCAAGATGAGTTCAGAGGGGCTGGGCCAGAGGGGCCCCTACCTCCAGCTGACCCAGGCTCCTCCCCTCCCAGTCCGCCTCTCCAAGGACCGATCCACCCTGCAGGTGCTGAACCCAGCCACAGGGAACTGGGCCTCTGCCTGTTATGACAGCTTCACAGAAGCTCTGGCCAAGACCGCCTGTAGACAGATGGGCTATGACAGGTATCCACCCAGGCCTTCAGAGGCTGTCACTTTGCCCCTGCATTCTCCTCTCTCCTTTTTCCTTCCCTCCTCTTCGCATCCTCTTCTTCCTTTCCCTGTTCTCTCCTCCTGTCTTTAAAACACAGACAGTCAGGCTTTTGATTCCCAGCACTTTCACTTGCAAGTAACGTGAAGATAAAGCTCTTCAGCCTCAGTTTCTTCAAGAGTTAATCAGGGGAAGTATTTCCAGCCTCATAGGATGAGTATGGGATGCCAACAAAAGAATGTATGTGGCCCATTCCAACATACACCCACTCACACACACACACACATCCATATGCAGGTACACTCACACATACACTGACACATAGCACATATCCATACATGCACACTCACACATACACTGACACACACCAAGCACACACAGAGTTCCAGCTCTTCTATAGTCCTCTTTTTGTCTTTACTCCTCAGTCCTTACTCCTTTGTCCTTTGGAAGAAGCTTCCCCTGTCCAGTCATGCCAAAGTCTAATTTACTTATCAAAATCCCATTGGTTAAAATTTAATCAAAATTATCCTGATTTCACTGGGCCCCATCAACAGCAATCCCAGCTCTCTCCACAAATTCCAAAAGCAGTTCCAAATCTGGAGTGGATAGAAGGTACATAATTTTAAAAAGGATAATTAGCATTATATATATGTATATTCATTGGCTCTTGGCAGAAAACCAAAAACATAGTTATTAATATATCTATGTTGTAAATAGGCTCAGAGAAAGTAACTTACTTATAATAGCTTGGAGGTAGAGAACTAGATCTGTGCCCAAGACCCCTCATTTGAGGGGTGGGGGGATCTTGGGTTTGTACATCAGGAAATTCTCTCTTCTCTCAGGGCTTCATGTGTAAGGGAGGGAACGAGAGACCACTGATCACTCAAAGAGCCAACCTGGAGAAGGGAAAGAGCACATTTGCGGGGTGGGACAGCCTCTCCCTGGCAGGCACCAAACTTCAGGATTCTGAGAAACTGGGCCCAAGGATGAGATAATAACTGCTAGGCAGACATCACCAACCAATCACAGATCTCTATCCCATAGATTCCTAAAGCAGCTTCAAGGTCCTTTTCAATAAATGCTCCAGGCAGCCTTTACAAATCAGCCTGACCTACATGCTCTCTCTACTCTCTAGTTATCAGGCTTCTGCTGATTTCCACCATCCATGGGCGCAACCCCCAGTACCCTCTAGAAAGGACACTCTGCACCTTCATTTTCAAGGTGATTGGAAGGCATGCCTGGTCTCTGTTACTCTCGCTCCTCCTGCAGCTGCCGTGATCCAGCCTGGCTGCAGCCAGCCCCTCCTCCCACTGCAGTCCAGCCAACTGCAGCGACAGCTGTGCCTGGCCCAGCAGGCTGAGGCTAGATTATGAAACCTGGATATCTCCTGGGGTTCTCAAGATGACAGGCTCCAGGCATTTCCGCCCTTCTGGAGATCACTAAGGCATCAAACCACCTAGCTCTAGGACCCTACCTAATCAAATTTCATTAGAATTACTGATCAGGCTATAATTGATGAACAGACCGCAACTTTCCTGGGAATGTCCATTTCCAACATTGTCTCTCTTGGGCTAGATTTCTCTACTCAGATTTCTCTACTTTCTTTCCTCTGCCTGGATTGGAATCACTTCTTGTCCCACAAAGCCATAGGTGTGACCCTAGGGGTCAACCGGTCCATTCAAACTTTTGCCAAGAAGAAAACTGAGGCTCAGAGAGATAACAGAAAATCCTGCTGGGACCTTTGAACCAGGGACAGAGCTAGATATTAAGAAAGAGGATCTCTAATGTTTCTCTGCAGCTCTGGGTTCCGGAGTAGGAATCCCCAGCAAAGAAAGCAAGGGCACATGAGCAATGTGCCCAGGGTTGAGTCCAGGATGCCAAGGGGAAGTCCTTATTGTATAGCAAAACATATCCCACCCCACTGGCCAAGACCACCTCTACTCCTTGTTCTCCACCGCCATTCTCTGCCACCCTCTCTCCTGCGAGCGCAGGCTGCCCTACCATCTTGTTCTCGCCTCCCCCCAGCTCCCAGCTCTTACTCCCTCCCACAGCCAGCCCACTTTCCAAGCTGTGAAGAATAGCTGGGACCAGGATCTGGATGTCGTTGAAGTCACAGAAAACAGCCAAGAGCTTCAGGTGCAGAACTCAAGCGGGTAAGTGATGGATCCCCTTCTGACCTGCAAAGGCCATGCGTGGAGGCTGCGAGGGCTGTAGCGAGCTCAGCCTAAAGAGACCAGCAGCAAGAGGAACATAAGCCAGACAACAAGAACTCTTTTCCAGAGCTATAGATGATTAAGTGCAGCTATAGCATCACATTTCTGGGAGGTTTTCTGTGTTGACTTTTTTAACACCATGAACAGCTGGACAAAGTGTGCCATCCTACCTACCCAAAGGCAGAAAGGTGAATAAACTGGCCTTTCTATCAATCTGAATATAAAGCCAAATGTCTCTTGCTACTGCCTTAGGTCCCCTAATGAGTTGCCCAATAAGCCACTTTGCAAAAGTCACTTTGTCTTTTCCCACCACTTACCCAAGCCAAGGCAGGACTTCCCCACGTTCCCAGTGTTGCAGGGAAGAGACCCCGTAACTCTCACCTCACTGCCCTGCTGCAGAACACAGCATCCAAATGAAGTCTGTCACACTGCAGCAGGGTAGTTTGGAGAGGATGCTGGCTCCTTAGCATTCAAGGTTGTTTCTGAGGGCTGCTTATTCATCAGAGTAAATCTTGAAAAAGACAGTGTTAGTAGAATGACTGTTAGCCTCGAATGCCATTAAAATCTCATTCTTCCATTTGGAGAGCCTGCAGCACAGCAAATTCTGTTCTGTGCACTGTTCTTTTCCTGCTCAGGCTGCCAGGACCCTGACCTGTTCTTTGAACTGGGCAGAGCCCTCCCTGCACATAGTAGATGCTCATTAATGGGAGTGTTGAATAAAATCAAATTGCAGCGAGTGTTACCGCAGTTTCCATAGAGTCCCCATTATGCAGGTTTCAGATTTCCCAGGTATTGGGAAGGGTCTCAAATCAACATTGTTAGAAGGGCTGAGTCCCTTCCTCCCAGCCAAGGGAGAAGTGGAACCCACAAGACCCTGTGTTCTCTTGCAGACCCTGTGTCTCAGGTTCCCTGGTTTCCCTGCACTGCCTTGGTGAGTATACTCTATCTCTGAGGATTTGGGGCTGAGCGAGCAACAAGCAGGGAGGAAGACCTTTGTCCTCATTCTTTTTTTTTTTTTTCTGTCCTCATTCCTAAATCTCCTAGAAAACAAGTTTCACTCTACTTCAGCCCAACTTTTGTTCTTCAGCCTTTGGACTTGTAGGTTAGTTCTCCTTCAAGTGGCTGAGTTAGGACCTCCCTTCTACCATCTGATCACAGCCCATGGCCTCAGTGTACTGTACAGTATTAGTTTTTCACTATTGTAGTGAAATACCTGAGGCAGGCTAAATTTATAAAGAAAAGAGGTTTCTTTAGCTCACAGTTTTGGAGAGTAAAGGTCAAGATTAAGTAGCCCCATTGGTTTGCCCTCTGGTGAGGGCTTAACTTCAGATACAAGAGTGAAAAATCACATCACAGAACAGGAAGACAGGGACACAGGGCTCAGGCTGTTTCTTATCACAACTCACTCTCTAAGAGCTCTGAGATCCCATGAGAACTCTCTTAATCTCTTCTGAGGGCAGCTGCTCAGTGACCCAAGGGCGACCCAAGGATGACCAGGTCTCAGACATGAAGCTTTGGGAGACATATTTAAATCATATCCAACCACAGCAGGGAGCTACAAAGAAATTGATCTGGCTAGAAAGAAACTTTATATAAAGACAGCAGCAGACTGGGAATGTAGCCAGGGGGCTGGGATAGCTCAGTGTTAGAGCACTTGCCTGGTGTGTACAAGGCCCTGAATTCAATCCCAGCACCTCCAAAACTAAGACAGCAGGAGGCTGCCTGGAAGAGTTTAAACTCCACCTTGTCAACAAAGGGGCTTTGTGAGAGTGAGCAAGGTGGCAGTGCTTCAAATCAGACAGCCCCCACCTAGCACAGTGCTAGGCACGGAGGAAAAGGGCAGCAGCCTCTCGAGGTTGCAAAGATCGCCATGGCAGGGCTGCCGGAAGGGTCAGAGAGGCAAAGCACAGGGTGGGGAGGTGGAACTGGAGGATTTAATAGCGGTCAAGGGTTGGATATGAAAATACACGGATGTGAGGAGGAAGGCAGGCAAGCAGACAGGGAGCAGCCCTTCACAGGAAGAAGGACCTTGGAGAAAGGTGAGTTTGGGATGGGAAGATCCCATTTCTGGGGCTTTCTTCCCACTTCCTGATGCCAAAGTAGCTTGTGCACATCTGTTTACTGTTACTCAGCGGGAGCAGCTCAGGACACAGGACATTCTGCCTGGGCAAGGCTCTTGTCATTCATCCCTGTTCAGTGGGAAGGTCATAAACTCCCAGCACAATGGACACACCTGTGTGCACAATCTAAACTCCGAACCACACCCAACAGAGAAATTTGAGGGAAAGCCCGCGGTCTGGGACATTCAGCAGCTCCCCATGAACAATTCAAAACTGGCCCCATCCTTTCCACCCTCCGGGACCAGTCCTGAAGGGAGAAAGTGGAGGCTCAGGCTGCCGCCCCAGCCCTCGGCCTGACTTCCTCTTCTCCCTCCTTGCTGCTGAGCTCAGCCTGTGGGCATAGCGCCAAGACTCCTCGTGTGGTGGGCGGGGAGGAGGCATCTGTGGATTCTTGGCCTTGGCAAGTGAGTATCCAGTACAACAAGCAGCACGTCTGTGGGGGGAGCATCCTGGACCCCTACTGGATCCTCACAGCAGCCCACTGCTTCAGGTAAGGGCCCAGGTCTCAAGGCCCCGCCTTGACTTACTTTACGATGCCCTCTCCCCGTCCCCTGGAGACCGCTGCTAGGGTGTAGCAGCCATGATGCCCTTTGCTGGGCACTGGGGTCTGAGCAGAGGGTGCTGATCACCAAGCTTGACCTCTGCTGGGCGGAAAACCATCAGATACCCAGGGTCCTCACTCACCACAGCCCATCCCCCATATCCTCCACTCCCTAAAAACTCATCCCTCCTCCCTGGGATCCTGAAAACTCACTCCCTCCTTGCCAGTCTTCCAGGAAGTGGCTCCAAGATCTAGAATCACTGTTATTCCCTCATTTTATACAGAAATTTAAACAGGTGTAGTCTCCCATCGGGTCCAGCAGAGATAGACCCAGCCATGCCTCTGGAAGGGCCACAACCATGCCCGCTCGGCTTTCACTCATTCGACATCTCCTTAGTGCCAGCCAGAACCCAAACCCAGGTGCACCAGACAGACTCCATCACTGCCTTCAAGGCACTCCCAGTCCAGGCCAGGGGTTCTTAGCCTTTTTGAGGATCTGATACACACTATAAATTCTTTCGTGGAAGAACTGCACAGTACACTGTACCTGGTGTGTGGCGGGAGGAGACAGACACACCCACACATGACTGACCACAATGAATAGAGAGAAAGGATGGGAGGCCAGGGGTGGTGGCACACACCTATTATCCCAGTACTTGGGAGGCTGAGGCAGGAGGATCGTAAGTTCGAGGCCAGTTTGCACTACACAGTAAGTTCAAGGCCAGCCTGAATTGCACATATGGCAAAACCCTGTCTCAAAAAAGAACAAGGATGAGAAGCATGTCAGAACGCCAGGGCTCAGCCATAGAACAGCCACTTTCCCAACCCTCTGGGCAGAAGTTTCCCTGTGCAAGTTTCACCAAAGAAAAGGAATCAGATCTCCTTTTAGAACTCAGCTCCTGAAAAGTAATTCCTCTGACTGCCTCTCTGTACCCCAGACCCCATACTCTCATCATCGTGTCAGGTGGCGCCCGCCACAGGGCTCCAGGAAGCCAGCCCTTACCCACACCTCCTTGGGTTCGGCTCAAGCTTAAAGCCAGCTGTCTCTTCCCACAGGAAGTATCTCAGTTTGTACAACTGGAAGGTGAGGGCTGGCTTTGACAAACTGGACAACTTCCAAGCCCTGCCTGTGGCCAAGATCTTCATCCTTGAGCAAAACAACTCGTACCCCAAAGAGAAGGACATCGCCCTCGTGAGGCTGCAGCTCCCGCTTACATTCTCAGGTGAACAGTGGTACCTGGGGACAGAGACCCAAGCCTCTCCGCCGGTTCTGCACTCACTCTGCCTCTAGACCATTTAGTGCCCTTGGGCGCCTTCACTTCCCCTCTCAAGACCTCAGCTTGCCCATTTATTTCTGACTCATGCGTCATCTCAGTGTCACCGGTACCACACAGTCACCTCCCCCTTGAAGCTGCCGGCTATCAGCTCACCATCCCCCACCCCCGCATCCTCCAAGGTCCCTTTCCTCCACTGGGAGCACAAATGAGAATCAGAGCCACCCACTCTTGGAGTTACGAGGGACCTTTTTAAAGGATCATCTTGTCCACTCCCCGAATGCAAGCAGCACCCAAGAGCTTCTACAATATCCCTGCCAACGCATCAGAAGCAACAATGCTTCAACTGCTGCTGCACAAGTGGGGAGCTCATTACTCTAAAGCAGCCCATAGAGTCTTGGAACAGTTCCGTTAGATGCCCCATGCTTATACTGAGTAATTTTCCGATTAGTATTTCCAACCCTGAGGGGACCACAGGACATAGGCACCCAGGGGAAAAGAGAGTTTCCCTGTCAAATAAGTTTAGGAAGTTTGTCAGAGTGTAATTCCATTCTTGGAGTGTATTCGCTTATTAAAGGTATGAAAAGTATTTTAAAGGATCTATTGTATTGTATGAAATCCACTTTTTTCAGGGGCAGTGACTGAGGACAGAACCCAGGGCCTTCACACTTAGCTATGTCTCTTTTTTGAGGTAGGGTCTTGCCAAGTCTCTAAGTTGCCCAAATTAGGCTCAAACTTGCAGTCGCAGTCCTCCTGCCTCAGCCTCCCGGAATGTTGGGATTACAGGCATGTACCACCATGCCTGATTGGAATCCACATTTTTTAAACTTATTTGACCATAAAATCTTTTTTTTTTCATACTACTTCTCTTAGTGTCCCACAGAACAAATGGCAGGTTCCTCTTGGAGGGCTTAGCTGCCAGGGTATCCTGAACTCTGGTTTTCTTTCAAGATTTTTGACTGTCGTTTGCTTTAATCAGCCCTGGTAAGGTGATAGATACAGAGATGACAGCCTTTGAAAGGAGAGAGTTCCGGAGAGAAGGGGGCATGCGGGGCCCTGTGGGGAGCACCAGGTCAGCGCAGGTTGGGGTGGGGGTTGAGCACAGCCCAGAGGCCTGACTGGTTTCCAGGTGAAGGCACTGCAAGGTTGGGTAGGTGAATTTGAGCGAGCTTGGGAGGCGACAATGAGAATAATTCTCCAGGCCAAAGAGGTTGGCCTTTAGTTGTCAAGGCCCTGGCTCTGGGGTGATGCAGGGAAGAAGAAAATGCTGGATTTGTGTGTGAGAGTTAGATCAAGGATGTGGCTGGTGATGTGGGCTTTGGATTGGTTGGTTTTGCCTATTAAGAGTATGCCCACAGCCCACTGGTTTATTATCTCTAGGAATTTGCTAACCAAGTCTCTCCTAGATCAATAAGCTCCCAAACAAAATACAGACAATTCTAAAAATATCAATAACACGGAGACTTCCTCTTCCTCTGTTCCCAATAGGCAAAGTCAGGCCCATCTGCCTGCCCTTCTTTGATGAGGAGCTTGCTCCAGCCACCCCACTCTGGGTTGTCGGATGGGGCTCTACAGAGCAGAATGGAGGTAAGTCCTGGGCCAGGTCTCTTTTCTCCATGACTGACCCTATGATGCTAAACTTTACTAGAAAAAAAAATCTTGTAGGGCAGGAGGTGTCCTGGTATGAGGGAGAAGTTCCCATAGACCATGGGAAAGAGAATCAACTTTCAGAAGAGCCCATTCTGGAAGACCAAGCCCCAAGGCTCTTGACATAAAGCAAAGAGCTTTGGTGACCCAGAGAATTAACCTGGGCTAGAAATAGAAGATAAGAATGAGAATGTGTGTTTTCACCCTCCCAGGGGAGATGTCTGACACCTTGCTGCAGGCTTCCGTACAGGTCATTGACAGCACCCGGTGCAATGCGGAGGATGCATACCAGGGAGAAGTCACTGAGACGATGCTGTGTGCAGGCGTACCGGGCGGTGGTGTGGACAGCTGCCAGGTGGGGCCTCCAAGGTTTGTGGGGAGTTCTTTGGATAAGGATGTAGGTTCTAGAGAGATGTGAAAACCCAGATGCTGAGTACCTCATATGACACTTTGCATATGATGGACACTCAGTATGTGATGAAGGGTAGTAGGGAGACAGCATAGGAAGAAAGGAATAGTCAGGTAAAGATATAAGAATGGGTGAGTGAGCAGATAGATGGATAAATTGATCCAAACTAACAAAGATTTCAATGTCTTGTTCACATACGGATGGTACTACTCACCCTTCCCATCCACCCTTAGTTTTCATCCTCTGCAGTATTATGAACCCCTTGAGGACAGGGATGCCAGGTGTGTCAACTTAGGTCAGCTTAGGAACTTCCCAGTGAAACAAAGATAACCAAGCTTCCTTAAAAGGAAAGGCCCATTAGAGCCTTCATTTTGCTAGTGTGAGTTGTGACTTTCTGAGCAATAAAAACAGCCAACCCACAACTTACTAGACCACAGGCAGACCCTCTTTGCCCCTGGAGGGAACAGTATTTGAGATGCAGAAACAGCATGAGCATGGGGAGGATGGAGGAGCAGAGAGCACCGGGGATTGCAGGGGAAAGAGGCGCCAGTTCAGGGAGAGGAGGAAGGAGGCCACTCCCTGCCCTGCCCTCCCAGCAGCTCCTATTCTGACTCTCACAGGGTGACAGCGGAGGGCCCCTGATGTACCACTCTGAGAAGTGGCAGGTGGTAGGCATTGTGAGCTGGGGCCATGGCTGTGGGGGCCCAACTACCCCAGGAGTATACACCAAGGTTACATCCTATCTCAACTGGATCTACAGTGTGCGGAAGGTGAGCCCATGTCCCACCGTGGTGCCCTCCCTCTCTTCCTCTACCCTGGTCATCCTTAGATTTGACTTCAGTGGGTCTGACAACACTTACTATCTCAAACTTCCCTCCCAACAAGCTGTCAGCCTGAGATCCTCCATTAAGGCTGTAAATCCTTAGGTCCAAGATTCCTGTTAAATGCAAGTACCTTAAGCTATGGAACCCACTGAGCTCTACCATTCTTTCTCTTCTTACAGAAAGAGACTATCAGATCCTTTCCAGAGAGATTCTGATAAGGAAGTGGGTGGGAGAGCTAAGGAGACTTCCTGGTCCCTGGAGAGTAGAGAGAGAGGGGGCAAAGAACTTCAGCAAGGGAAGACAATTTTGCACTTATCACCACTTCGTCAGTTTAAAATCATTTGGCTTTCTCTTCCTTGTTCTCTTTCATTCTAGTCTGAGACGTAATGTTGCTGTCCCTCTGCAGTGCTGAGCTGCTTCCCCTTCCCCTCCCTACGTGGAAATCCCCCAGAAATCAGACTCAGAGAAAGAGCTTTCTTGGGCACAGCTGTCTGCCTGCAGTCTCAGGATTTCTTGGACCAACAAAGGGCCTCTGTTCCTGAAAAATGCCCCACACCCCAAAGGTACCCAGAAAGAAGTCAGCTTCCTTCACTCAGCCACCCCCAGGAGTGACACAGTGCACTGAACAGAACCAGCCTGTGGACCAGGCGTCGGAGGCATTGCAGAACTGAGAAGGAACCTCTCTCTACCAACTGGAAGTGGGTCTTTCATGAGAATGGGAACTGAGGACTGCGTGGAGGAGGGAAAGGTCTGACCAGCCCTCTCCTCCATCCATCCCCAAGCCCACTGGAGCAAGGAACCGGATGTAATGTAAAATGCATTGTCCTACTGTTGACATGACTACTGCTAGCTATCACTGTTACTGTTGATACCTGTATGGCTGCTATCATTAAACAGGTGTGTGAAATCTTTGGCATGAGTTGAAATCTTTGGGGGCTGATTTGATAAGTACTAATGCTTTATTCTTTAGCTTGGAGATCAAGGGTCCTGAGGAAGTGTTTCTCAAAGTAGAGGCAGAGGGAAAATGAGACATGGAGACCAGTCCTGCTGAGTGAAGACAACAGTGCATTGCAAACAGAGGACGCCAGAGTGCCCAAGTCTCATTGCTATCCAGGCCTTCTCTCTTTTTTGCCGATCTGTTGAGGGTTCTTTTGCTCAGTTTGGATGGAAACTACAAATTGACAAAAATGCAGCTCAGTTAGCAGCTCCTGGCTTTAAGTGCCAATGGCCCTTGACCACTACTGTTATAGCTCCACTGCTCTCAGCCACCCTTATCGGCTCCTCAGCAGCCCAAGCTAACCATTGGCCACTACCTGGAGCTCTCTCAGCCTCCTGATCTCCGCAGATCTCTGCCAAACATCGGCAGCGGCTGCCAGTTGCCATCACCAGTTAGCTAGTTAACTCCAGTCACCTGCTGCCGTACACTGCCACCAGTCAACACCAGTTATTGCTGCCAGTCACTGCCAGTCTCTGCCATTGATCTCCACTGATCTTTATCTTTTACTCCTGCTCTCTGCCACTGGTCTCTAGAACTCTCCAGAGTGTTTACAGCTCTTTTAAATATGATCTCCTTCGTCCATACTACACAGGATAAGAATCCTCAGACTTACAGGGCCACCAGTAAAAAGTTTTATTTGGACCTATGTAGTAGCACAAAAGGTCAGCACACTGGACGGAGCCCTCCTGGACAAACCTAAAGGATGTGAGGGGAGCACTGCTTATATACAGTAGCAGTAAGGATTGTTCTAAGTTTCAAAGAGTCATCTGGGATTGGTTTACATTCAGATCCAACCCTAGGATTGGTTCAAACTTCAAGCCTACTAGAGCAGTGTCATCTGAGCTAGAGTCACCAGGAGTGGCCACAGGGCAAAGTCATCCAAGATCGGACCATGCTTTAAGGCTACTGTAGCCAAAGTAGATATCACTGGGGGTGTCTAGGGCAGCTGCAGCTATAGCTGTCAGTCAGGGGATCCCCCTGTACCTTTTGGGAAAAAGGGAGGGGTCATACATTTCCTGTCTGTCTCATTTTTTCCATCCCTCCCTCCCTCCTTGCTGATATGGGCCAGGGGCAAACTGACTTTGGAGGAAAATGATTTAGACACTCAAAGGTGACATTCAAGCAGAGTCACCCAAGTTCCAAGAAAGAGATATTGAACCTCTTAAGTCGTGACTTCCACCCAGAAAATGCTCAGTGTTGTTCCTTTGAAATTTTTAAAGTATTACCTGCCAAGCAAGAAGTCCCTCAAGTTCTGGGCATTCACCATGAATAAGCTCCTGCACTCAAAACTGTTGGAGAATTAAATCCCATAGACTTCTCTGGCAGATAAATGGAGGCTCAGGTTTTCTGAGGACCCTTTTGGTATAGTTGAGTCAGAGCCTGCATAAAAAGCACACCTGTAGTTCCATCTACTTCAGAGGCTGAGGCATGAAGATCATCAGTTTGAGGTCAGCCTGGGAAACTTAGCTATACAATGCCTCAAAATTTAAAGGACTGGACATCTAGCTCAGTGCTCCCTGGTTTCGTCCACAGTACTAAAGAAAAACAAAGATCCTAGATAAAAGATACTGGTCAATGCCTTGTAAGACTCTTCGGAAATAATAAAAATCCACAATGACACAAAAATAAATAAATAAACAAACAAAATTAACAAACCATCAGAACCATGAGTTGAAATTAAAGTGAAGATCTAAAAGCAATAAACTCAAATTTTGGGTTGCCCTGAAACAAACCTCTCTGAAGGCTGAAGTCAGGACTAAGCCTGTACCCTCTACAGATGGGAAAGTTGAATCTGCTGCACCCCATGAAGCAGAGATGTCTGAGAAGCACAGGAGATTCCAAGTGGCAAATCTCTTAAATATCTCTAATCTTTAGAGCTTCAGGATTCTCAGATCCCTTAAATACAAGCTCAAAATTGAAGTTCAGAGATGATAATCATTAAAAACAACCAGTGTGACACCCTCAAAAACTACAGATGTCAGAATAATCAGATAACTAATTCACATGGACTATTTCTATGTGCCAGATATTATTCTAAGTGTATTGGTTCATGTAATGTTTACACAAACCTATAAGATGGTACTATTCTTATTCTCATGTTATAGATTTTTTTAAAAGCCAGGAGAGGTGGCACATGCCTATAATCCCAGCACTGGGGAGACTGAGGCAGGAGGCTTACCATAAGTTCATGGCCAGCCTAGGCTACATAGTAAGTTCAAGGCCAGCCTGAACTACATAATAAGATCTTGTCAGGGGCTGGGGATTTAGCTCAGCGGCAAAAGTGCCTGCCTGGCAAGCGCAAGGTCGTGAGTTCGGTTCCTGGTACCGGAGAAAACCCCCCCCCCAAAAAAAAGATCTTGTCAGAAAGAAAGAGAAAGAAAGAAAGAAAGAAAGAAGTGTTACAGCAAAAATTCGGGCTGTATTCCGCAAAAGACCAAAGAGAACAGACAAAGTTTTTAATTTAGACAGGTCACCTCTCATCCTGACTTGCAAGTCCGGGAAGTGGGTGTGGACCTGTCTTTGTTCCCAGGTTATATACATTTTTGGTTTCCATGGTAACAGAAAGGAATGTTATAGCCCTGGCCACATGTTGTTTTCCTTGTGCCATGTAACCAGGTCAGGCTTCGGTCATGAGCCCAACCACAATGATATATACTTTCTGTACTCTGTTTTATACGTCCCCCTTTGGATAACCATACATTTCCTTTATGGTTACAATGTTTACCTAGGGCCAGGAGATGGAACTGCCCAGGCAGGGTCACGGAGGGTTAACTAGGCCTAGGCACCCCCTTAATTTGGGGAGACATTCCTGGGCAGTGTTGATCTGGGGAATTAGCTCTTACACTGTCCCGGGAGTCTTCCCAAGGCACCATGTAGGCTTTTACCAAAACTATTTTATCTAAAATAATATGCTAAGAGTCACTGCCCCCTACAGAAGAAAGAAAGAAAGAAAGAAAGAAAGAAAGAAAGAAAGAAAGAAAGAAAGAAGAAAGAGAAAGAGAGAGGAAGGGAGAAAGGGAGAAAGAAAGAGAGAGAGAGAAAGAAAGAGACAAGGTAAGACCTAAGTCACTATGAGGTTATTTCTTTGCCTGAGATTATAGACTGATATATTGAACATGAGCATTCTAACTCCAGAGCTCATACTATAAACCACCACACTATAAGGATTCCAATATGAGAACTTATTAATGTTTAAATAAATAAATAATTTTTTAAATTGTGGTTTAACATGTACATAACATAAAATTTACCACTGACTATTCTAAGGGTGCAGTTCAGTGATTCATGCATTCACCTCGCTGAGCTGCCATCACCATCACCCTTGCACAGAACTGTTTTCACCTTGTAAAACTTAAACTACATCCAGTACACAGTAACTTCTCATTTCTCCCTGGTACCAACCATTCTTCTTTCTGCCTTTTTTTTTTTTTTCTTTTTTTCAGGGCCTTTAAACTGTGCTATATCCCCAGTCTTCTCAGTATTTATTTTGAGATAGGATCTCACTAAGTTTCCCAGGTGGAACACAAGCTTTCCAGCCTTTTGCCTCAGCTCCCTGAACCACTGAGATTACAGGCATGTGCCACCGTACCCAGCCTTCCAGTCTACTTTCTATGAATTTGACTATCCATATAAGTAGAATCACAGTATTTGTCTTTTTGTTCTTGGTTTATTTCATTTCACATAGTGTTCTAAGATTCATTCATGTTGTAGCACACATTAAAAGTGCCTTCCTTTTTAAAGCTGAATAATATCCCATTATTTACATCACATTTTATCCATTTATACACTAAAGAGCATTTGGGCTATTTCTATTGTCTGGTTATTGTGAATAATGCTGCCATGAACATGAATGTATAGGCATCTCTTTAACACTCTATATTGCTGTAGCATATGGTAATTATATTTTTTCTAATTTTTAAGAACTACCGTATTGTTTTCCATTGAGCCTGCACCATTTAGATTGATTTTTACATATATCAGCAGTGCACAAAGTTTCTAATTTCTCCACCTCTGCACCAATACTTTTATTTTCTGTTAAAAATACATTTTAACAATCAAAGAAAAATGACTGACAGATTTTAAAAACAATCAAATGGAACTTTAGGAAACAAAAGCTATAATGAGAATGGAAAGTGGAGTGGTTTAGATAAATTGCATTTAGGATGTAGATTAAGAGTGAAAGAATGAACTAGAAGACAGATTGAAGAAATTACTAAATGTACAAGAGAAAGATAAAATGAAAAATATGAAGACAAGGTGATAAGCAATACAGGCTAGACTGGTAAGGTGTAACATACCCTGGGCCCTGTAAAGACAGCAAAAAGATAATGAAAGAGAGATAATATCTAAAGGGATAATAGCTGAGAATGTTTTAAAACCTGTCTAAAATATGGGATAATAATAACATGTAAGCCAGGAGAGGTAGTTGTAGTTAAAATAATCTAACATCCTTAAACTGTTAAAAAGAGAGGTTAAATATTAACCAAAGTTATGTTACATAAAGTGTGTGTACTATACTCTAAGTAGTTGAAAGATCAACTACCAAAGAAATGACAATAAAATATTTCACTTCCAAAACAATAAAAATAAGAGATAAAGGAAAAACAAACAAACCAAACAATCTCAAAAAAAGAAGAGAAAGGAAGAAGAGAACAAGAGAGGTGGCAAAATATAGAAAAGTCAAACAAAAAGAATCTGCAAAGGGGGATGATTTTAAAAAGTGTCAATAGCCATAACAAATGTTAAACTAACCAATTAACAGAGAAAGATAATAAAATTAGATGAAACTGTTATAATTTGGGCCGTGAACAACCATGAAAGGCACATGTGCTGAAAACTTATCTCTAGCTTGGGATACTAGTGGGAGGAGGGTGCCTTAAGGAGGTGAGCTAAGTAACAAATGAATGTAAACTC